TTGGGATAAAGACAAAAGTGGTAGGTGGGGATAAGATTAAAGGATTCGATCGATTTAAGGAAAGTTGGATCGATCGAATATGGTGGAATCTTTTGGATAAGGACAAAGGCTTGGCTCCATCTTGAAATGGCTAGATTGATCACTTCTAGATCGATCGAAGAATTGTTGAGATCGATCGAAGATACTGCTTTTCCACCATTTTGCTTCCACTATGCTCCTTTATTCCATTCAGCTCAAGATTGCTTCTTTTATGCTCTAATTGGTCTAAATTGACTTATTTTGGGGATAAGTGCATGAGAATGGGAATAACATGAAATTAGTTTAAAGCGAAAAAATAATATAGATAAAGGTCCTAGAATACCTAAGCTTAAGAGGTTTAAATACGCACTTTTTAGTGCTCATCACACCCCCAAACTTAAATATTGCTAGTCCCTAGCACTGAACTACAAAGTAAAGGAATGAAATGAACAACTATACAAGTATGAACAAGAAAGTAATAAATGGATAATGCCACTTTCGTAGGGAACACGATTGCATTTAGCATATGCAACAAGCCTTTTAAACCCCTAGGTTTCCCCTAGTGGACGAGTGAAGTCTCGTGAGGGTTTCCAGAAATGATACCCACAAACATTAAGCTCATTCCTTCAAAAGAGGCACCAATATTGCAAATAAGTATTGGGAGAAAACTACCTCAAGTATGCAATTTTTCAACCCTTTCCAAGCAATCTCCCAAAATTTCAACATCAAGCAAGCAAGTATGGTCCTCCACACATCAAGAAAATGATTATGCAAATCAAAACAACTCTCGAATCCTTTTTGAGTGAACCGGCATCAAATATGTTGCTATCTAAGCCAACTAAAGAAATGATCACATCCTTACCCTCAAACTAACACACAAATCTAGTATCGATTATCAAGACAAATAGTGGACCTTTTATTAAAGCTTTATTCATTAGGTGCATTTTTTTTTTTTTTTTTTAATCCTAAGGATTAAAGATGGAAGCATAGTGCAATGTGTTTTTAGGGTACTAGCGATTCATGAGGTCGAGCGTTAGGTCAATGACTCCCAAACCAGACGGTTTTAGGGTACTAGGTGTTCAAACACCCCTAGGGACTTACAAGCTCAAATTAACTACGCTACAAATTAAAACAACCTCCATCTAATCATTTCCACTTCTCACCTTTTGGGAGAAGTCCTTATTTTTTTTTATTGTTTTTGCAACTTCTTCTCTTTTTTTTTCCTTTTTTTTTTTTTTTTTTTTGGTATAAACACAAGTTCAATTATTAACCTAGAGTTTGGGCCCTCCACCTTTCGGCGCGAGAAATTCAGTTCTTGATGAGGCTAAAATCCTGGCTACTCAATGAAAAGAGATTGCTATCCGAGATTGTTATCCACCTTTATCAAGAATGAAAGCTTTCAATGCACTACTAGCCCAATTGGGATATAACCAATTCAATAGTCAACAAAGCATATACCCTATAAATGAATGCTAGTGTGCGCCTGTGCTAGTGTAGAATTTTAGAGTGAATCTCAAAACAATCACAAAATCAAAATGATGTGGACCACAAATGCAAGCAAGATATCAATCTTTCAATAAATTTACTCCTAAATGGCATCCACAAGGCATACAAGGAGTATTGAACTCTCAAGTCAAGTAATTTTTAAATTTTAAACAATATAGTCCTCAAAAGGTCAAAATCACAGCTAGTCATGGATCAATCATAGAAAATCCCTCAAATACACAAATCATGCTCAAAATTTTGAATTAAAAGTAAACACTGCAAATAACACCTATTACCCCCAAACTTAAATGACACAGTGTCCTCAATGTGCAAAAAGAATAAAGGAAAGAGTATACCAGTGCAGCTAAGGCAAAGAATGGCTGGGACACAAGTATCCAAAGTGGGTGGTACAACCCCCAAACTTGGAATTAATAGTGGTCCTGAAAAGATGGCACTTGGATAAAACTCATCAAATAACAAAGGGATAATAACAGTGCATAGTGGACATGCAAGTGTAAATGAAATAATAAATGAAATCAAAAGAGAGGAATAATGATGGTCCTGAAAAATTTGGGCAGCAATCTCTCACTGAAGCCACTGGGATGCACTTGATAATGGTGTCAATTACAGATAGATGTATCAATATAACAACTAGACATCCAAAATATCATGCATAAGATAAGGAAAATAAGGACAGTATAAAGTACATCACAGTGTCAGGGCCAACAGACTGGCCGCAAAAATAGTAATATCACAATAACAGTAAAGTATCACAGATATATAAAAGATGAGAGTAAAGAGATAGAGAGATCAGGCAGAGGAGGTCGGGCGAGTGAAGCGTAATCCCCGGATATCTCTGGATAAATCCTGCAGCGCAGCCATGACGTCTGAGCGGAGAGTAGTCACGTCAATGCTGAGAGAGGCCACATCTGACTGAAAAGAGACAACTGCGTCCTCCAAGGTCTGTATACGCTCTCCTAGGCTAGGTGTCGGAACTGGAGCGTCAGGGATAACTAGATCACGAACTGGAGGTATATCCTGTCCATACTCCTGAGAATGTAATGGCGACCCTACCGGAGAGTGATGTGGGGACTCTGCTGGAGGCTCTCGCTCTAAATTAATATCCATATGCATGTCTGCAGCTGCCGGTGGGTCTACTGGATCATGCTCTGCTGCTGTTGCTGCCTGTGTTGCCATTGTTGTCTCCTCCTTAGCTGCCAAGATAGCTTTCTACTCTAAGCTCCTGATAAGAGCATTAGAGCTCTTATTCCAATCTTTCTTGCTGTAGTGGCAAGCACCTGACTCAGTATGCTCCTCCGGGTGAAAGGGATAGTGCTGGTCCCAGAGGATCGGTGTAATAAGGTGTCCGAAGGGGAGGAAAGTGGCTCGCTTGGGCTTGGCCTTACTGATGAATCTCATATAAAATCTCATCATGACATTTCAGATGAGTGCCAGAACAGAGAACCAATGCCCAGTGTAGAAGGCATAAAGAGCAGCTAGAAAATCTGAGCACCGCTGGATCTTATAGCCTGTCATAAATACATTTCAGAACAAGACCGAATCAAAGAACCAAAGATCGTCAGGCAAATAAGTCCTTGTGGCGAATGTCTCACCATCACTGTAGTTACCAATCAGTGCAATGGCCATGTCTGCATCGGATGACTGCCTGAGAATAGGATACTAAAGGCCGGGAGGGCAGATATGCGGGCATCGTGATGATATGGCCAATGACTCAACTGTGATGCGGATGGGGTGGCCATCAATAGTAGTTTGTAGCTCCGATAAGTTACTCAGGGCGGCCGGAGGTTCTAAAAGAACACTCGGACGAGCCTCGGGTTGACTAGATAAATAATTGGAGCAAAAATAGCAGATATGCCCCGCCGATCAATGTCATCAAATGCCGCCAGTGTCAGAACTGACCGGGAAAATAAGGCAATGTCGAATATTGACTCATGCACCACCTAAAGGTGTCTATATCTCCTACGAGGCCTGTCTTTGATCTGGCCTGACAGTGCTGGTGGTAGTGAAGGAGGTGGTACATACTTAGCCTCATCTGAAGAAGATGACGCAGAAGTAGAAAACTGTAGTCTGGTGTCGGCTGATAAGGACTGAGCTGTAGCTGGCTCCTGAACATGAGAAGGTCTCGCCTGCTCCTCTGGCTCCTCCACACGCTGTCGAACTCGGCGTACATACTGCCGGTTGACGACAGTCTTTACCCTAGCCATGGTCTGTAAAAAGAAAAGAAACACTTACAACTAGAGTCAGTAACAAATAATAAAGAATTGAAACACATTATATAGAAACATGTATGCCAAGTAAGATAGATAACTCAGAATGAAGTATATGAATCTATGCAAGTAATGACGCAGCCAAATAAAGAGTGACTAAGTGAAACATGCTAAACAGTATAAGTATGGAATGTATCCAATGTGGAAAACACAGGCATCGGGCATAAATAAGATAGCATGGAACACAAAAGATAATGTGTGAGGTGTATATGCAAATCTGTGATGCTCGATCGATCAAGAAAATATGAGATCGATCCAAGTTGGATCGATCTGAAATTGAGTGAGATCGATCTTTCTCTGATCGATCAGAGAAAACTTCGATCAATCGAACTGCTGTGAAAAATTTGAGAAGTCACAGATCTGTGATACGGAGGGCACCCAAGCAAGCTTGTGGGTCCCTCTCACACATCAACAACTCAACAATGGTCACTCATATAGGCACGTGACCCCCAAAATCGAATTCGGAATCAAAAATATATAAAAATATTTACATATATATACACATAAATATACATGCTTGGAACTTCATATATGGCAAGAAATCAAACATGGAATCTTAGATCTAACATGGAAACATGGGCATCACTCAAGATTAAAGCTTGAAATCCAAAATTCAAACTTACCAAATCGGGTACGAGAAGTGGTCCGGGAGAAAGAGATGAGATTTAAGACGAGAAATGAAGTTCGAAGACTTGGAATCCTCGTCGGAGGTTCGCCGGAGGTTAGGAAGAAGGTTTGCAGCGACGGAAGAAAGCTAGAGTCTTGGATTGATCTTTGGAATCGATCCAAATGACCTTGGTTTCTATTTTTAAAAACTGCCTCCGACATGTCCAATCGATCACTAAGAAATACGATCGATCGAACACAGATCGATCGAATCCCACAAAACGACACAGTATTTTTAAAAAAAATTTGAGTTTTTTTAAAATTAAAATTAAAATTATTTTTGGATTTTTGGAAATAAAAGACATTAAAATAAAATGCAATAAAATAAAAAAATATTTTTGAATTTTGAAAATTTTAGAATAAAATAAAAAAAAATTAAAATTAAAATTAAAATCTTTTTAGAATTTTTTTTTGAAAATAAAATAAACATTAAATATATATATATATATATATATATATATATATATATATATATTTGTATTTTTGAAAATATATTTTTAAATTTTTTTTTTTAATTTTGAAATTTAAAAATTAAAATGCAGTCAAAGTCAAAGTCAACAAAGGAACACAGATCGATCAATCCAAGATCGATCTAGAAAAGATTTCGATCGATCCAACAAGTAAAAACCTGCAGACAAGTTCGAACGATGCATAGAGAGCTGATTTTCATGGGTTTGAAAATTTTTCTAAGTGTTGGAACTGAAGATCGATCCAGGAAAAAGTTGGATCAATCAGGAATTTCAGATCGATCGAAAAATAACTTCGCACGATACACAAAGAGCTAATTTATGCAGGATATCTTCGCACGATGGAACAAAGAGGTAATTGGATGCAGGGTTGGCAGTTCGATCGATCGAACCTCTTTTGAGATCGATCGAACAGGCACAAAATGCCTAATTAGAAATTGAAAGTGCATGTAACCACAATCACAGTTCCTAGCCATGTGTAAGAACCCAAAATATATCTAGACGACGTAGGAAATGAAAGTTAAAATAGAAATAAGGGAGGAATAAAATTGTTAACCCTACGAATCGCACTAGTGTTTAACGTCTCTAGCAAGACGTTGGGCTCTTTTAGCTCGGATCTAGTATCTTGTTATGCATCCCCTCCTTGACGGGGTGAATGGATTTTTGAATCCCACCAAACAAATGGTTCTCTAAAGAACTTATTGGATTTGGATCAAAAGGAATTGACGGTCGTTCATCAAGGCAACTCTTGGGCTTTCATGCCCTTTCAACACAAGGTTTCGAAACAACATTTCTTGAATTCAAGTTTGAAGATAGACTTTTAGAAATTCCACTTCCAAGTAAGGACTTAACTTTATCACATTCATTGTCAAGACATTTTTCCACAACACACACTTCTTCATGTTTATCCATTGAATTCGAGGTTGGATTAAAAATGTTCAACTTCACTTTCATATGCCCAAATGATATTTTCATTATCCCCGTCCTACAATTGATGTTAGCATTTGCGGTTACCAAGAAAGGAAGGCCAAGGATAACGGGAATTTGATTCTTGGGGTTCAAGATCGGTTCCGTGTCAATGACAACAAAATCAACGGGAAAGAAGAACTTATCTATCTTAATCAAAACATCCTCAATGATACCCCGGGGCTTTTTAATGGATCGGCTGGCAAGTTGCAAAACTACCGACGTTGATTTTAAGTCTCCTAAGCCCAATTTAACATATACCGAGTATGGAAGACGATTAACACTTGCTCCTAAGTCTAGAAGAGCCCGATTAATGACATGGTCACCAATGATGCAAGATGTAGTAGGTGAACCAGGGTCCTTGAACTTTGGGAGAGTGTTGTGTTGCAAGATAGAGCTTACTTGCTCGGTCAAGATCATTCTCCTTAGTGCTTGGCTCTTGTTCTTCCTCTTTTGGGTGCAAAGATCTTTCAAGAACTTAGCATAAGTCGGAATTTGCTTAATTGCATACAAAAGTGGAAGATTAATCTTCACTTGCCTAAACACATCAATAATTTCATTGGTCTTTGTCTTTTGTTTTTCAATAGAAATTGACCCTTTCAAGGCGCCCGGGAATGGAGCCTTTGGCTCAAAAACTTTCTCAAAATCTTTCTTTGAAACATCTTCAACACAAGAACTCTTCAAATCATTTTTCAATTCATCTTTCAAATGATTTTTCATAACTTTCTCAATAAGATGATCATGCACATGCAATGAAGGAAGAATAAAATGTGAAACGGGACGGGTGTCAACTTTTGGTTGCACCGGTTTACTCTCTTCATTGGAAATACCTACTTAATTATCAATAAGCTTCCCACTTTTCAAGGTTGTCACCGTATTGACATGTTCAATTGTGTGACCTTCCGATGAGGAATGAGTCTCCACAACACGTTGTTACTTTGGTAGTGCATTCAAAGGCATCTTCCCTTTCTCTCTAGCATTCAAAGTACTAGCTATTTGTCCGACTTGGGTTTCTAGCTTAGCAATGGATTGAGAATGAGAATAAAGCAATTAAGTATTCGCCTCTAGAGTGCCTAGAGCGGTTAACATTTTCTCCTCAAAAGCGGGAATCCTAGAATTTCCTTAAGAATAAGATGATTGATTAGGAAAATGAGAATTTGAAAATTAATTACCATGCGATTGAAATGATGATCTAAAACCTTGAGAACCTTGGCCTTGCATTAGAGGCGGAACATACTTGCCTTGAAAACCACCTTGGGGAGGGTTTGAGCCTTCCCCTTGGCTTTTCCAACAGAAGTTTGGATGGTTCCTCCAACTCAAATTGTAATGAGTGCCATAGGGATTATTCCCTTGGTTAACAAATGCAGCATTGACTTGCTCATAGTTTTCACTTTGCACATGTCCATGGGGACAATTGGAAGTAGAATGTAAAACACTAGAACAAGTCATGCATGATTCGTTAGAGTTACGATGAGAATGGTTAGGGGAGGAAGACATTTGATTCGCCGAAGTTTGGTTGATTAAAAATTAATCAAACCTTTGAGATAAGGAATTCATTTCAGTGGCTATGTCATTGGAATTGTCAACTTGATATAAGCCAAGATTCTTCCTTCCACCTAAGTTTCTACCATTTTTAGAAGATAAAGATCCATGCATTAAATTCTCATTCATGCTTTCATACAATTGCCAAACACCATTTTCATACTTGTCAAGGTAAGACCCACCCATAGATGCATCAACCATACCCTTGTGATTATCCGGTAAACTTTTAAAGAAATATTGAACTAGTTGCCACTTAGGTATGTCATGATGTGGGCACTTCCTAAGCAAATCATTAAACTTTTCCCATACCTCATGAAATATTTCCCCATCCCCTTAGAGAAAATTCACGAATAGAAGTTTTCATAGCATTGGTCTTTGATACCGGATAGTACTTTTTCAAGAACTCTTGTTGCATTTCTGCCCAAGAAGTTATCGAAAAAGACCTAAGATTGTTGAACCAATATTTTGCTTTGTCCTTAAGGGTAAACGGAAAAAGTTTAAGTTTTAACACTTCTTCTAGCATGTCCGTGTATTTCACGATGGAACACACTTCAAAAAACTCATCCAAATGCTTGTAAGGTTCTTCACTTGGAAGTCCATGATAGTTGGGAAGCAATTGAGTGGTTTGTGGTTTAATCTCATAGTGATGTGCTCTAAATGGGGGCAATTGAATCCATGTAGGTGCATTGTATTCATTAGGCACATAATGATCACACAAAGCAATGGGAGGATTCACAATTGGTGATGCTACATAAGCACCTTGATTAACTTAAACCATGGAAGGTTGTCGAGCAAAAATTGGCCGAGCCATTCCCAATGGAATTTGGCCTTGTTGTTGTGGTGGGATGAATGGTCTAGGCATGCCTAATGGTACTTGGATGTTGTCATGATGCACATTAGGGTGGAGGATGCCTTGTTGGTCTATGTGACAAAGGTCATCTACATGGTCATCATGTTGTTCCTTCATTGATGAAATGGAGTGGTGCGAACTACCTCTTCCCTAGGATTACGAACAACCGATTCAAGATGCAAATTAGGAGGGACAAGAGTAGGATTTAATGACCTCCGACCATGCATGCACTAGCAAAAGAAATAACAAGTAAATAGCAATCACTTCGCCCCCACAATAAATCAATTAACAAATCTCCACATACAATGATCCCATACTCCTATGCTTGAACAATATGCAAAGAAAAGTAAATTGCCTCCACGCGGGCTCACGATTTATGTAAGAACTTGTCACCACGCGGGCCGACGATTTAACTAGAGATTGAGTTAGAAAGATCTCACAAAGGGTCCTTGAGCAACTTCAATTTAACTTTGAATTTTTAAGCCTTGCTATGCTTTGCAATTTTTAGATTTTAGCCCTTTTTTTTATGCTTAGCTTAGCTCTTTGCTTTCAATTCTCCTTTGTTCAACTTCCTTGCTCAATTCACCTAGCCAAATAAGAACAAACACAATAAGTAACTAAAAATAAAGTAAAGTAAAGACACGATCAAAAGAGTACTAATTCCTAATTGTTTCTAAAGAAATACAGCGTTGCCAATTCAATCCCCGGCAACGGCACCAAAAACTTGGTGGTCGTCGTCGCAACACTCCAAATTTGTGCAAAATAGTGTAGCCAAGTTTTAAATTTATAAAAAGCCACTACTAACTCTAACTACTAAATATAGCTAAGGTGAGTAGGGATCGTCCCAAAGGATTGTGGGCGTGTTTGCAATGGAAACAATATATAGGGTTTGTAGGTTGAGTTATAAAAAGATTATTTGGTTGATTAAACTACTAGCTAAAACTAAGCAAGTTCAATGTAAAACGAATAATAATAAATAAATGATAGGGGGAATAAGAGAGAGAGATCTTGGGATTTAGAGGTCACCACTAAACATCACCTTTCTAGACACTTAATGTATAATTAATGAGGGGAAACATGTATTGCAATTCAAAGAGGTGTGATTAATTGCATCAACAAGCATAGATTGACTAATTAAGTATACATTGTCTAGACAACCTAGTGAATAGCACAATATATCAAACTAAGCCATTAATCCTTCCTTTAAGCTCACAATCAACACACTAACAAGTTGAAAAATTATACTACTTGCATTCATAAGCATGGAACATCAAACAACAAGCATGGATTGTTCTCCCATCTAAAAAACTAAGGCAACTACACTATAACTAAGCTAGGAACATGGAAATTAAACTAAGGGAGAGGCATAATCCATCAAGAAATGAGCATGAACCACCAAATAAACCACAAGAGTATTCTATTTAAGCACTATGCCTTGACAATCTCTAGATCCATAGCATCAACACACATAGACATGCATCAAAAACATAAAAACTAGAGATAAACACATAAACATCTATTCTAACATACATAGACATATGGATATAATGAAATGATCAATAGGAAGTATTAAACCACACAAATCATTGTATAAATAAGATTCATATATAAACCAAGTGTCAAGACAACATTACAACACAAATTTCCTCAAAATACAAAGCATTAAGGTCTAGAAGGTATGCTTAGGGCTAACTCTAGCCCCAAGAAGATGTTTAGCCACTCATTGATGTAGTCATCCAACTTCAAGAGCTATCTCCATGGTAGAAATGCTCTTCTTCTTGATGGAAACCCTAGATGAATAAAAGAACTCCCAAAAATGGTGTGTCTCTAGTCTCTAGACTCTCCTCATTCCTTAGTCTCTAAGTATGAATCCTTTGGATGATATGAAGATATGATGTAAAAATAACTCAAAATCCTTTGATAGGTAGCTCAAGTGTCACACCCAATGGTCTGGACTCGTGCACTAGGGCCCCTTCAATGATTGCACCATGAGCCATCTTTTAATAAGCTGGACTTTGTTTTAATTCGGACTTGAGGAGGTTCGATCGATCGAGTTCAGATGAGATCGATCGAACTTTGGTAAGATCGATCCAATGTTGGCGAGATCGATCCATCCTTGGCGGCACCTTTTAGAATAAAGACAATTCTGAGATATTTTTGGGATATTTTGGGATAAAGATAAAAGTGGTAAGTGGGGATAAGATCAAAGGATTTCGATCGATCTGAAGAAAGTTTGATCGATCGAATATGGTGGAATCTTTTGGATAAGGACAAAGGCTTGGATCTATCTTGAAATGGCTAGATCGATCACTTCCAGATCGATCGAAGAATTATTGAGATCGATCGAAGATACTGCTTTTCCACCATTTTGCTTCCACTATGCTCCTTTCTTCCATTCAACTCAAGATTACTTCTTTTATGTTCTAATTGGGCTAAATTGACTTATTTTGGGAATAAATGTCTGAGAATGGAAATAATATGAAATTAGTCTAAATCGAAAAAATAAAATAGATAAAGGTTCTAGAATACCTAAGCTTAAGGGGTTTAAATGCGCCTTTTGCAACGCTCATCACTATAGAGGTAATTTCCTTCCCTTCTCCTGCTAAAGCCAATTTTTATTATTCTTTCTTCCTCGGATGTGCATTTGGCATAATTAGTACTCTTGCATCTGTCTGCAGACTCTGTTCGGAATGATAATGAGGAGGCCCAGGACGACATGGGCCGGATCAGACTTGCAAGCACTACACTCGGTCTGTACAGCTGGGTCGGCCCATATAAAGACACTGCCATATGGGCCGAACGCGAGTAAGCCCATCAAAGGTGACCAGGACTTATGGAGGAATAGGCCCAGATCCAGCAATCAGTCAATATTTGTAAATATCTTGTAAATATCTATAAATAAGTGAATGAATGAAAGAGGGGGGATCTTTTTGGTTGAAGTGTAAGAATTCTAGAGAGAGAAAGAGGGAACGAATTTCTTGCATCTTCAATTGGCGCCGTCTGTGGGAAGCGCATGGAAGTTTGGTTGATCAATGAGGAATATCGAGTGGATTCAAACCGATTCGGTTGATCGAGACTCGATCTTTGGGATTTGGATCCAGATCTGAGCGATTGTGACCTACTCGGGAGGAATTACAATTCTTGAAGCTTTGGCAGGAGTGGCTTCAGATCTACGCAACAACGAGTTGTTCGATTGTGGCAGGATCTGACGGATTTAGAGTTCAGGCAATTCAGATCTCGTAAACAGTGAGCATAATTCGGAGAATTCGAAGCCAGATCTAAAAAATTCCCACTCACGAAGCTCGGATCTACTCGCGAACTTGAGATTAATGCCTTTACTCCGTTCAGGAATAATGATAGGTGAAAGCTCCAATCCGATGGAGGCTGTCCAGCAAACAAAGCTTGAGGAGTTGATGAACTTGATTGAAGCTCTCAAAAAAGAGAATGCAGAATTGAAAGCTGGAATGCAACATCGGCAAATACCTGCAGTTTCGCATCCACTTCCGGTCGGTGAAGGAGGTGTTCAATCTAATATCGCGCGTCAAGGCGAACAGGACGAGAACAATCAGTCAGCTCACCACCGTGATGAAAGGATGATGGACAATTTGCCGCCAAATGTTCGTCGGGTTGAAGATCACGAAGGATCGACTCACGTTGATCCGCATCGGGAAAGGTTCGATCGAGAGGAAGTGATAGAGGTTGATCGCCGTCGAGTAGCGTCGCCTTGGCAAAGAGAGTTCATAGAGGAACGGTCGTTCGATCCGTCTTACCGGCCCTCCATCGTTACTATCACTCATCACGGTTCGGAGGGCAGAACCGTAACTCACAGAGCTACCGCTGGACTCCAGAGAGAGAATGAAGCTCTCCGATCCGCAGCTCGGACGGTGGATTCACCATTCACCGACGAGATCTTGAATGCCCCGCATCCAAGGAAGTTTGCTATGCCAGTCTTTATTCTGTTCGACGGAACGACCGATCCGATCGATCATGTGTATCATATCCAGTTGAAAATGGCCCTGAATACGGAAAACAACTCTTTAATGTGCAAATGTTTCCCTACAAGCCTAGCCGGACCGGTGCTCAGCTGGTTCAAAAACTTGCCTAGGAACTCCATTGGTAGCTTCAGAAACCTGTGCGATCGGTTCATAAGCCAGTACTATGGCAACAAGCGCCCGCCGAAGGACATCTCGAGCCTATTCACGATGAGGCAGCACAAGGATGAACGTCTCCAGGCTTTTCTTACCAGGTTTAATCTCACTAAGAGTATGGTGATCGAATGCCACCCTTCTACAGCAGTTCAAGCCTTCAAGTTAGCCATGACACGCGGAACTCCGTTTCACACCAGTCTGGTAGTGAACACGCCGACTACTATGGATGAACTCAATGAAAGAGCCGATGGCTTTGTGCGCCTAGAAGAAGAGGAGGCAGCTAATGCTCGGACAACGTCGCTCGTGTCGACCGAGGAAAAGTCCAAGGTAAAGATCAGGCAGAAGCAAGCTCAGCCGCAACGTCAGACCTCTTGGAAGGCAGAAAAAAGGTCCAGGGAGGAAGAGCTGATTACTCCGCTGAAGGTCACTCTGGCGAGGCTGTATCAGGAGAACAAAGATAAGTTTCATCCACCACTGCCAATTAGGCAACCCCTCGAACAGAGGGATCAAACTAAACATTGTGCTTTTCATTCTGATTTCGGTCATCAGACTAACGAATGCAGGAACCTGAGGAGGCAAGTGGAGATGTTGATAGCTAGAGGGGAGTTCGCGAGTTATGTTCAAGATTCGGCGATAGAGCAGAATCGGCCGGTGGAACAAATAAAAAGGAGTCATAAACAAAGCTCCCACAATTCACAACCAGTTCGTATAATCAATACTATCCATGGTCGACCCGAGCCTAGTGAAGAGTCAGATAAGCTGCTCCGGGCGCGCCTGCGGCAGGCGCAGATGAAGAAAAGGGTCGGCAGTGTGAATACTCTACACCAGCAGAGCCCGTCGATGCAGATAAAGTTCGACTGGACAGACCTGCAGCGTGTTCAACTGCCTCATGAAGACCCGTTGGTAGTCAGTTTGACAGTGGCAGACTGCTTGGTGCGCAGAGTTCTGATCGATCCTGGGAGCAGTGCGAATGTCATGCCGAGGGACACATTTGACAGGCTCGAGATTAAACCAGAGAGGCTCAAGCCCACTGGAAATCCCTTGTTAGGGTTCGATGGGAAGAGGGTGGAGCCCGTCGGGATGGTGGAAGTGGAAGTTCAAGCTGCAGAACGAGCTCTTGTGGAAACTTTTGTGGTTGTGGAAATTCACCCCTCGTATAATCTCCTGATGGAAAGAGGATGGATTCACAGAGTCCAAGGTGTACCCTCAACTCTGCATCAGGTCATGAGGTGCCTCGGACCCGATGGAGATAAAGTGATAGACATTCGGGGGGATCAGGTTGCAGCCAAAGAGTGTTATTCCGTCACACTAAAGCATGCTGGGAAAGGAAAGGCGCCCGTCCGTTCGGCAAGCCCCAGATAGCAATTACAGGAACCTCCGCCCGAGCAGAACAGGGTGGAGGAGTCAGTCGACTTAACCGAGGAGCCCCTTCTGGATG